CTATATTCGAATCCTCTGCCTTGCGACAGCCGTCAAGCGCGACCTCCTCGGCCCGCTCCGTCGGGTCCTAACGCCTTGCCGCTGGTAGCTTCCCCGCTTAATCTCCCTGTTTTCGGTCCTTCAATTAGTTTCTTTCCACTTTCAGCTGCTAAATAATTTTCTAGTAAACTGATGAACGTGTCTAGAGTTGCAGGTTTAGACCGAACTACCCATAGTCTCATGTCTGCTGGCATAATGCTTATGGCTTGTTCCATTACCACCTTCTCTACTATGCCTCGCTCTCCGTCAGTTTTTGGGTTGAGCCACCTACGGGCATATTCTTTTAATTCAGCTACCACCAAACGTGGTCTATCAGCAATCTGCCACTTGCGATGTCTAAACTTCTGACGAAAAGTCTCATCAGTTATCTCGTAACGATCCAGAATAACCTTTTTGACCTCGTCATAGTTGGCGGCTTGGACTTTCGGTAATGCCCGCATAGCAGCTTGCGCTCCCCCCGTCAGGTAAGGACCTAGTATAAAAGCCCATTGTTCTTTTGGCCATTGCGCCATTTCGGCTGCTCTTTCGAAAGACTCTAAATAGGCTTCTATGTCATCTTCTGCTGTTAGTTTCGTAAGTAGAGGGGGGGGAATACGCATTCCCGGTGGCCCGCTAGGTCTAGCTCCTTCCCAAGCTTTGCTTAAGTTTCGTATTAATAGTACCTGGGATTCCTGTTGTTGTTTCATCCAGGCGTGCATTAATCCTTCCTGTCGCTCCGTTAGCCACTGAGAGAACTGCCCGAGATCGAAGGTAGGAGTTGAGGGTTGGGCACCTTTTTCCTCTGAGGTTTCCATACTGACCGCTTGAGCTTGAGCCGTGAACCGCTTTTCCCAGCCAGCCGGTTTGGGTATAGCCGGACGAAAGGCTGTCTTCCCCGTACGGGCCACCAATTTGTCAGCCCTCGTCTGGCTCAAGGGAAGGGTTGGGTCGTGGGTTGGCTCCAGCGTGTTATTCACAAAGCGTTTTGGCCTAGGTTCCCCTCAGAGTTGCCGTTTGAGAGTGACTCCCACTCTCTTTCAGCCATGTGGGTCGTTAGACGAGTTCGAGTTACTTCACTCCTCTCTGTCTTTCTCACGACTCTCACATTCTCCTCCTCCCTGGGTACACCTGAGGGCCTTTTTATTTGCTTCGTTTACAGCACCTTGTGAACCCACCACCCAATTCTTAAAGGGATTCCACCACCCACCTGGTTTAGGTCCCCTTTTCTCAGAACTTTGTGATTTTCCACCCAGCTCTCCATCTATCAGAATATTGTCGGCCAGCCCAACCATGTCCGCGGCCCCGACGTCCCCCTTTTGAGGACCCATCACCTCGATATGGTCTACAGGCCAAGACTCCTGAACCTCCTGGGAACGGTCGGAGTCCTGGCACCCCGGTTTCTCTACTACAAAGGGGGTAGCTTCCTGCATAGGAGGGAGGGGGTTGAGAGCGCCCTCCCGACATAACGTTTACGTGTGAATGGAGTTGTCAGCTGCATGAGATCTGGGTTGAGTTGCTGTTCCTCCTCTGTTACAGGTATTTAACCCAGGCACAGCCAGAGGCACAAGCCTTTGATGCAGAAGGGTAAGAGCCAAAGGCATCTTTACCCCTGGTTCGCAGCCTATGGCCCTGAAGTGAACCACACCAGTGCATCCAGGAAGAGCCAAGGATTTCAAATATTTGTTCTTTTTCATTTATTTAAATTTTCTAAAGATCTGTGAGTCCCCACCGTGGATAAAGCAAGGGGGCACATAATAAACGTACACAACTGTGAAAATAATGCAACTGGTACTGCTTGCTCCATTTCAGTGTATAGTTCTGGCAAGCATTAACCAATATGCTCCTGTGAAATAAAGGCCAGGAACACTCAACAGGGACAAGTATGGCATGAAAAAGTTCACTTACAGAAATGCTCATGTTAATCAAAACAGAACTGGTGGAGGCAGCCAAAGCATAAAATATGCTACGCAATTCATCCTCCTTTTACACAATTACAACCCTCCACTGCTAATAATCCCACCAGCACAAATTAATCTACAAACAGCTATGTAGATCCAGCTTCCATTCAGCAGATGTTGGCAAGCATACACATGGCAGCACATCATCCCGTATAAAGAATAAAGGACCATCACAGCCTTCCAGAATATTTACTCCAATACCAGACAAAAAGTGGCAGTTTGGTTTTTGCTCGTTTGCCACCCAACACCTTTTTTTACTTTGTCAAGTCCATTAGAAATGTAAACAGGTTTGTATTCATTTGCAGGCATATTACATTTTGTAAGATGCATTTCTTTACAGGGGGCCTGTTTTTTATTTTTCATGCCAAAATCTCCAGGATGTAAGGCAAGATGCACCTAGTGGCTCATGGATTTACACCCATTTTGTTTCAGTTACAACTGAAGCGGGTATCACAAAGCTTGAAAAATTGAAACCACACCAGCTGTACAATGTGCTTGCTCCTTTATGATGATGAAATTTATATTTATCTCTTAAACCAGTCCACAATGTAACTGATACTCTGTTTTAAACCAGAGAGCTTGCATTTGCATCAAATTAGTTCTACTACAGAACTATACGAAACTGGAAGTAGTACAATGGTGATAGTAGCCAGGACTCTGACATGAGTCCTATAAATAATGCCCCATACCTGCAAGCATTCCTGGCAGATACCTGTCCTACCTGTTGTGGAAAACCTTTCCAAAATGAGATTCCTAAACTTTAATAGAGCAGCTCCTTTATTGTATTGCATCTCCCCCTCCCAATATTCAACCTAAATCTATCTTCTCAAGTAGGTCAAAGTAGCACCCTGTTTTACAAAGTGGCCAATCAGATGTCACTGAAGGATTCATAAAGCAAGGCATCAGGCCAAATGCCAGTCTGGTGTAGTGGTTAAGAGTGCAGACTCTAATCTGGGAGAACCGGGTTTGATTCCCCACTCCCCCACATGCACCTGCTACTGTGACCTTGGGTAAGTCACAAGTTCTCTCAGAAGTGTTCTCTCAAGAGCAGTTCTCTTAGAGCTCTCTCAGTCCCACCTACCTCACAAGGTGTCTATTGTGGGGTGGGGAAGAGAAAAGAGATTGTAAGCTGCTATGAGACTCTGAGTGAAGGGTGAGGTTTAAATCCAATTTCTTCTTCTTCCCACTGCTGCCCCTCCCCCCAACACTGGTATTCAGAGATTCCATTTAGCTATTATAACCAATAGCCATCAATTGACCAATTCTTAATGAATTTGTCTAATTCCCTTTCAAAGCCAACTAAACAGGGGGCAATTGTGTGACAATAAATTGCAGCACTTTGTGGATTAGGCACTACTTACGAAGAATTAACTTAGTACAGTGGTCAATAATAAAGTCTTAACATGGATAACTATTTCCTGTGAGAGCCAGTTTGGTGTAGTAGTAAGGAGCAGGGACTCCAATCTGGGAAAACCAGGTTTGACTTCCCACTCCTCCACATGCAGCTGCTGGTGTGACCTTGGGTCAGTCATAAGTTCTTTAAGAGCTGTTCTCTCAAGAACAGTTCTGGAGAGAGTTCACTCAGCCCCACCTACCTCACAGGGTGTCTGTTGTGGGGAGGAGAAGGGAAATGGATTGTAAGCTGCTCTGAGACTCCGAGTGAAGGGCGGGTTTTAAACCAATCTCTTCTTCTACTTCCAACAATAACACTTGCGCAATCAGGCAAAAAAGCAATGCTGATGTTCGGCTGCCTTGCCTCTTTTTGGAAAAAGAAAGCAAGCCTGACAGTATAAATAGTTTATCAAGAAGTTAAGGAACAGCAGCACTGGACACAAATGGCACAGCAATGAACTCTGATTTAACTAATCACTGACAGCAGTTACCCTTTGCCCATTTACACTTCCTAGATGTGAGCTCTGCTTTTAAGTAACACAAAGCTTGCAATTGTTAGAGAATGTTTTGTCAGGCTGCACTTAGCCTTATGGAAAATAAATTATTCTTCCAGACCCTTGTGAAGAGAGATCATACTCAGTAGTAATGCACTTAAAATTCCTATGCAACAGAATCAAATGTAGGGCCTTAAAATGTGCAGAACATGATTTCGTTTCCTAAAGACCAGCATATCATTGTAACTTTTCCATCTCCAGAGAATCTCGTCTGAGGGACAAGATTGCAACCCCCAGTTTACCCTCTAAAACGTCAACCTGAAAAAGCCCCTGACAGTCATAATGAGGAAGCACTACTGGATTAGTTGAATGTCAGCTGTGCCGGATACTCTATTAATATATGTTGATCCACACTAAATCATGATTTGGGAGCATATGGCTATATAACAAAAGAAAACTGAACTGGGAAACAAAGATCACAGAGCAATACACACTGGAACAATCATGCAACTAGGTGCTGTGTTGTTGGGGCATGTCACACTGCATATACAGTTTGATACACTGCAGTGTTAGACAGCATGCATGTCAGATCTAGGGTTTTCTTGGGGGGAGGTGTTACACAATGGTGAGGCATTGACAGCACTAATGTAAAAACATGACTGGGCTCACTGACAAAGACAATAATGCTAGGAAAAGATGAAGACAACAAGAAAAGAGAAAGACCCAACATAAGATGGATTGACTCCATCAAGAAAGCCACGAACCTCAGTTTGCAAGACCTGAGTAAGGCTGTTAAGAATAGGACATTTTGGAGGCCATTAATTCATAGGGTCACCATAGGTCAGAAGCAACCTGACAGCACTTACACACAAGAAAACATGACCCCTCACAACGATCATGGTCGCTGGGAGCTAGACACCACTTCAAAGATTTGCCACTGCTGCAGGGAACCCCAACGAGAATCTAACAGAGAACAACCTGCACTTGGATATGACACCAAGTCAGCCTGTGGACGGTAACTGAGGGATGAGGTAAACGGATATAAACATCCACAGAATCCATTGGAACAGTTCGTTTTTGCAGTGTTATTTCTCCAAGTACCGTACCCACACACACTTCAGCCTTTCACGCCGCTTACCTTGCTGCCCTCATTTTTCGGGGGCACAGCCCCCGGCTCCTGCTTTAGCTGCTGGGAAGCACTAGCCTCCAGGGAGTATTTCTGTGCCGCTGCCTCCCCGCCACTGACCCGGTTGCTCTTGCAGCCACAAGCTCCTCGATCCCCTTCTCCGGTCTTCCCAGCTCCATCGCCGTCCTGCAAACACGCCGCCAACCCCAACCACAGAACCCAACAAGTGACAACTCCCCAGCACAGCTCCTGCCTGGGCGCAGCCATGCTTAGCAGAGAATCACGTGACGGAGGAGCGGTCAGCTGACCTCGTTCAAAGCAAGGTGCTTTCCCGCTGGCTACAGGCTCGAACTTCAAGTACGGAAGTCTTAACTTTCAAGGGAACTTGCTCCCTACCCACAAGCTAAGAGTTTTCTGCAGCAATAATAGCAAGAAAAGGCTACAGATACGCATCCCACGCCTTTTCTGTAAGACGCAAAAACCGCGATGTGGGTTTTTTATTCTTCTTTCACAACCTGCTTCCTTGTTAGCTAGGAGTCACACTTCGGTTGTTATTTCCTTCCGCTTTGTAGTCGCAGTTTTTAGGGGGCTAGATCATCACGCTCCACTTGGTTCTATAAAATCGATCAAAAGCGTTGGACTTGGAGTAGTGGGGAAGAAGCATAGACCGGTCTGATGCAAAGGGTTAAGAGCTTGATTAAGGCGAGAACGCATAACCCCACTGAAAGTCCCTTTCCTAAACTATACATCTCAAGTTGATTTTGCAAATACAATCGATGGGAGGAGAACTGTCTTTTATGAAAGCTACCTTGCAGTGAATCCAGACCATTGGAATGTCACGGTCACTCGTCCATTTTCTCAAGTAGAGGTCTTTCCAAAGGTCAGCCCTGTGGTGAGGCCTTCTTAGTGGAAATGCTAAGGGAGGCATTTAAGACTTATGCATACAAAGCATGTGTACTTCCCAAAGATTTCTTGAGACTTTAAACAGCCATTTGATAGGATAGCAAGGAGAGGCTGTGGCTCAGCGAAAAAACCTCTGCTTCATATGCAAAGGAACGCAGGCTGAGTCCCTGACATACCCAGTTAAAGGGACCAGGCAACTTGAAAGACCTTCCAATCTGAGTAGACAAAACTGACTTCGATGGACCAATGGTCTGATTCAGTATAAGGCAGCTTCATGTGTGTGTGTGTGTGTTGACATGGTACTGTTCTCTTGGCCTCAGGTGCAATTTGCCCCCAGACACATTGGTATGAAAACATTCAGTCAAATTACATGAGTTAACATACTAGGCAAATTTATTAGAACTGGTAGATAGAGCAGACTGAAAACCCCCCAGTATTTTTAACCTCATGTAAAGGGAACTCAAACTTGCAATGATTCCCAAAGCAGCTGACCACTGATGAAGTGCTTGACAGCCATCCAAAATTTTATGCAGAAGTTAAGGCCATATTATTCAGTGGGGCTTACTCCCAGGAAAAAGTTCTTACTATTGATGGCTTTGTTGTTGAAATGCACCTGGTCTTCTGTTTGAAGCGTGAACATTTAGTGACTATTTATACATATTTACAATGTTTATACATATTTACAATATTTTGCAATTTTGTTTTTTTAATATACATACATTAGATAGCTTAATGGGGGAGGGGTTCTCTGCATTTAAAATAGTATCCAAACACAATTTCAGGCACATTTATGTGGCAGTAAATGCTGCTAGATTCAAAAGCACCACCCCCTTGCTTATTTAGTGTAGTGGTTAAGAGCTCGTTTGGTGTAGTGGTTAAGAGCGCAGGCTCTAATCTAGGAGAACCGAGTTTGATTCCCCACTCCTTCACATGCAGCTGCTGGTGTGACCTTGGGTCAGTCACAAGTTCTCTCAGAGCTGTTCTCTCAAGAGCAGTCCTCAAAAGAGCAGTCCTCAAAAGAGCTCTCTCAGACCCACCTACCTCACAGTGTGTCTGTTGTGGGGAGAGGAGGGGAAAGGAGATTGTAAGCCTCTCTGAGACTCCGAGGGAAGGGTAGGGTATAAATCCAATCTCTTTGTCTCCTTCTTCTAATGTGCTTGCAGCTGCAGCCTTGATCTGAGTAAATCTACCTATCAGAATATAGATCAGATAGATCAGGGGTGGCCAAACTTCAAGGTGCTGGTAATTACCTTCAAAGCCTTATACGGCCTGGGACCGAGCCTTACACAGTCCAGGACCAAGATATCTGAGGGACCACCTCTTCCCATATGCACCCAAAGAACATTACACTCCATGGATCAACATCTCCTGGTCTGAAGGATGTCCATCTTGCCTCGACCAGGGCTTTTTCTGCCCTGGCCCCTGCCTGGTGGAACATACTCCCCATTGAGATCAGGGCCCTGCGGGATCTTCTTCATTTCCGCAGAGCCTGTAAGATGGAGCTGTTCCGCCAGGCCTTTGGCTGAGGCGGCGGACATCTCTATATGGCCTCCCTGAGGTGGTTGTCACCTGTCCACCTATCCATCTGTTAACCCAAATAATATGCTAAAGAACCGTACAACCAGTGACTGTCAGAAGTGTGATTGGGTTTTAATGTTTATTATTGTTTAAATACTAACGTTTAATTCTAATTGTATTTATTGTACTGTTTTATGATGTTACCCACCCTGAGCCCGCTTGCAGGATGGGCAGGCTATAAATACAAATAATAAATAAATAAATAAACAATCATAAGAGCCACATGGAATAAACATCAGATTTTGAGATCTGCAAGACATGGACAGATATTACACACATTTTATTGCAAAATATGCAGATTTGCTGTTTATTAACATTAAATGAGGCTGCCAAAAATAAAAACAAAAGGAATACAAACAAATAGCAATATTTATTTGTTCGACGATATTTGTAGACTTGGAGAGGAAAGCTTTGAGGATGCATTTAAAGTTAAAGTTGCTTTCTTTCTACCTCACAGGGTGTCTGTTGTAGGGAGGGTAGGGTAGGGTAGGGTAGGGTAGGGTAGGGTAGGGTAGGGTAAGGGAAAGGAGTTTGTAAGCCGCTCTGAGACTCCAAGTGAAGAGTGGGGTATAAATCCAGTCTCTTTTCCTCTTCTTCTTCTCTTCTCTTTCTCTGCTTTCCACCCCCCCCCCCCAAGCCTGCACAGGGAGGGGAACACTGGCTGGGGAAGGGAAGACCAATCATGGAAGCATGCCTGCCCTTTGCTTCCCCAGCCACCCTGCCAGGAGCCACACAATACGTGTGAAAGAGTCACATGTAGTTCCCAAGCCGCAGTTTGGCCACCCCTGAGATAGATCGAGCACCAGCCTTTTTAGAGCATGTAGTAAAACCTGGCCTGACCCAGATGGCCCTGTCTAGCCTGATCTTGCCAGATCTTGGAAGCTAAGCAGGATTGGCCCTGGTTAGTATTTGAATGGGAAGACAACCAAGAAAGTCCAGGATCACTACACAGAGGCAGGCGGTGGCAAACCACGCCTGTTCATCTGTTGCCTTGAAAACCTTACAGAGTCACCACAGGAGCTAGTCAGTCACTGTTGGGACTAAGGAACTTCTCAGATCCATCGGAAGCTGTGACCCACAAAAGCACATATTGAAACAAACATTGGTCTTCGAGATGCTCTGGACTTTTGTTTTATTTAGACACCTGAAGATACATTATTTATTTAAAATGTGTACACTTGTCTTCAGCTAGAAACTAATCCAGCTCATACCAAGTATATCAAAGCATTAAAGTTAAATATTTCTCTTCTTTATATTTTATGAACCTATCTGTGATCCATTAAGATATGAGCTATTTCACTCTGAACTAGCAAGAGAAATCTCCTTATAGTATGATGCTTGAACTTCAGTAGTTCATGTGCCATGCCTGCCATGCCACCCTAAGCAAAGTTACACCCTTCTGAGTCCATTGAAGACAATGCACTCAGAAGCAATGTTCCCTCTAAGCTGAGTTAGTGTGAGCTGGCTCACAGGTTTTTTGCCTCCGGCTCACAGAGGATGGCTCCAGAGCAAACTAATTTATGCAGTAGCCAAATCACCCGCTCACAACTTTAAGGCCAGTCACTCACAAAGTAGAATTTTTGCTCACAAGACCCCACATCTTAGAGGGAACATTGCTCAGAAGGGTGTAACTCTGCATACATAAGACAGCACTCATCAATGTTGTAATGATCACCTGAGTCCCATTTTGCTATCTGGATGTGTCTTTTGATTCAGATGGACATCAGTTGCTATGCATGACTATTTGAGTATGACTCAAGCTGGATTTGGGCCAGAAAACAATTTCCAAGTAGAATTTCTGTAACATAGACCCAATTTAATGCTTCCAATCTAGCTGAGTTCTGGTGCAATGTAACATTTATGTGAAATGTCTATTGTGTTTGGTGACCTCTAATTTACCAGGACAAGACAACAATTACACAAAGGATTATGGGATTAAAATGGTTTTTACTAGGTTTTTACTTAGGATGGTCAGGTAGGGAAAGGTCAGGCAAGGTAGGGAATTGATTACATTCTGAGAAAACCTTTTCTGAGAAAATCAGTCTTTGACACTGATGGATTTAAAGAGGGAAGAGACCTGCCAAAAACCAGACCTTTGCATCTTTAGGGTCAGTTTTCAGACATGCCTCCGGTCAATATTCGATGGCACACATTTCATGTGACTGCGGATCTATCTTGATCTCTTATTTGCAGACCAGGGATGAGTCTTGAATGACTGACCCTGTGAGATGCTAAGAGAGGGAAGGTTGCTTGTGTCACCTGTTTATAGGTACCAAGCTCGTCCTTCCAAGTGAGGAGGGGGTCGAGGCCAAACATTACGTGCACATACCCAGCTTAGTAACTTACTTATATCTTTTCCTCCTCTTCCACAGAGGTGAGATGAAAGAATCCTGGATAGAAGCTATAAACCACGATGTCTGAATGCAGGTGCACAAAGGTTAACCAGAGTTCATTCCACCACAAAGGAAAACTTAGAATCTTGGTTTGCAGTGAGAAGCTAACATCAGTTAACCCCATGCCTGCATTCATACCTCAAAGGTCACTGGGGATCATATCTAACTTGGAGTTTCAGTACATTAAGTCCATGGGGGAGGAAGAGAAAGGAGGAGTGAGGCATATGAGTGCAGCAATGAGCTAGGTTCATTTACTTATTGTTCGAGGACATTTCTGTGCCACCTTACCAACTCAATGCAGGGGCCCCGAGGCTGCAAATATTGAAACATTTCAGACACTGAAAAGCACTTAAAACATTTTAAACAATTAAAACGAATATAAAGACATAAAGA